AATATGAGACACTGTATATCATGTTTTATGTAATACGGGATATTATAAATCGTGTTTTGTATAATACGGAATATTATAAGTCGTGTTTTGTATAATACGGGATATTATAAGTTATGATTTTTGTAATACAGGACATTGCACGTTTTCTAATGCAGGTCATTTTAATGTTTTCTAATCCAAGACATTTCATGTTTTGTAATCCAGGACATTTCATGTTTTATAATCCAGGATATTTCATGTTTTCTAATCCAGAACATTTTGTATTACGTTTTCTAATCCAAGACACTACTTCACGTTTTCTAATGCAGGACATTTCACGTTTTCTAATCCAGGACATATCATGTTTTATAATCCAGGACATTTTATATCACGTTTTCTAATCCATGACATTTTGTATTACGTTTTCTAATGCAGGATAAAAGAAAAGAAGCGTCCATTTGTTTTTGTATTCGTCATTCTTCAGACTAAGTCTAAGAACATAGTAAAATAAAAAATATTTTTAATAATTGAGCTGTAAAATAATAAAAAACGAGAGAAATTAATAGGAACGATAAAATACAAGCTACATTATGTATCACGTTAAGTTTTTCATCCATACCTTTCTGTTTTTCCTCACATTCTTGACAAACAATGGAGTGAATGCGTTTTTTTATATGTTATTTTAAAACATTTCGGCGATAACTTAATTTCAACATCATGATGATCAACTAAGTTTTAAACGTTTACAAGAAGGTACTTTAAAAACTGATCTAAAAAGTTATTTTCACATTTTAATAGCTGTACTATTCGCGAAATTTGTCGGGAGTCCCCCCTCCCAACCCCGTTACACCAAACATGCTCGCCCTTTCAGCCGTGGGGGCGTTATAATGTGACGGTCAATCCCACTATTCGTTGGTAAAAGAGTAGCCCAAGAGTTGGCGGTGGGTGGTGATGACTAGCTGCCTTCCCTCTAGTCTTACACTACTAAATTAGGGACGGCTAGCGCAGATAGCCCTGGTGTAGCTTTGCGCGAAATTCAAAAACAACAATAGTACCTCTTAAGTGTAGTGTAAAATTGTAAATGTTTAATATATGATAAATGTAGTGTAAAATTGTAAATGTTTAATATATGATAAATGTAGTGTAAAATTGTAAATGTTTAATATATGATAAATGTAGTGTAGAATTGTAAATGTTTAATATATGATAAATGTAGTGTAAAATTGTAAATGTTTAATATATGATAAATGTAGTGTAAAATTGTAAATGTTTAATATATGATAAATGTAGTGTAAAATTGTAAATGTTTAATATATGATAAATGTAGTGTAAAATTGTAAATGTTTAATATATGATAAATGTAGTGTAAAATTGTAAATGTTTAATATATGATAAATGTAGTGTAAAATTGTAAATGTTTAATATATGATAAATGTAGTGTAGAATCGTAAATGTTTTATATATGATAAATGTAGTG